AAATGAATATGTTAAAGGCTATTGTTAGTTACTGTGCCTTGTCACTGAGGTAGAATTTGGCTGCATCCCAAGGTCCAGCCAGCAGCAATCATGGAGCACTTCACACTCATTTTGTGACCAGGAGAGAAGTTATGCCTTGTCACTGAGGCAGAATTTGGCTGCATCCCAAGGTCCAACCAGCAGCAATCATGGAGTACTTCACACTCATTTTGTGACCAGGAGAGAAGATTGTAGAGGAAAACAGTGTTGAACGTTGCCACTTAGCTAAACCTCTGGTGTTAGTGCACTCTCATATTTTGGTTTTCCATCTCATATTGTAAATTTTAAGTGAAATCATATAAGTACATATGAATAGTGTCATTCATAGTATGTTTGTAAAGCCAGCTTCCTAGAAGTACTGATATTTTCCTTATTTGAGTGTGTTTTTTCCAATATTTCGCTGAAGATTGTGCTTTTCAGCAGTTTGTTTAGCTAAGAGCCAGAGGATCCTCATAATCTGCTATTGAGTTAGGCATCGTAATAGATGCCACTGCTAGAAAGTTGTTCTTGATAGACCGAAGCATTGGTTTTACACCAGCTGTACCTCTTAGCAATTGTTTGAAGCTAATTATGACCTTACCAGACAAAACAGCAGACCACTGAAATTTGCCTTCTGAGTAGTACATCTGTGACGCTTTTTATTTCCCACTTTGCAGTCCCTCCTACTTGAAACATCACTGTTAAGGGTAGAGGGAAGGAGTTGTTCAGGGATTTTTACCTCTTGCCCTATCATGGTTAGCTAATGCGAAGCAATATTAGCTGCTGCAGTGTTGCTGCAAGTAGTTTTGATTCTTTCCGTGTATAAAGCGCTCAGTAAATTAAGAAATGATAAATACAGGGTATTGGAGGTTTGCAAACAAACATTTTAATAGGAAGACTGCTCTGAATATATTCTGGCTTACTGGTGACCGTTGCTGCTGGAGCAGAAGTGCTAACACTTGGGTTAGCTGGTAGCACTGCTCAGGTACTCAAGAATGTTTGCTGCCAGGAATTTTTCATCTTTATTCAAGTTTTGACATTGTGCTGTAGTATTTTTATCTTTCTTGTTGTGTTAATGGTTGTATTAATATTGAATTATTTAGCATGGATAAATAATCCATGAATGAATCTGACCTAGTTATTTGTAAGGCATTTTTAATCATTCAATTATAATCTCTGTAATTAGAGGAATGCTAAAAAAAATGTTATCAGTTCTCATCATTGCTGAAATTTCTATTGCTTGAAACTAGGCAGGAAATTAATTTTTTTGTCATTCTGCTTTAGAGCTAACACCTAACTTTTTAAATCAAAGACGGTAGCTGGTATCTGACAAGAGCCCTGCTGGTGCTGAAAAGCAGATTTGCAAATGCATAGGAGGTTCAATCTGAATATGAGGAAAAACCTTTTACTGTAAGGGTGACAGAGCATGGCCCAGGCTGCCCAGAGAGGTTGTGGAGTCTCCTTCTCTGGAGACATTCAAAACCCGCCTGGACGTGTTCCTGTGTGACCTGGTCTGGTGATCCTGCTCTGGCAGGGGTTGGACTGGATGAGCTTTCGAGTTTCCTTCCAACTCGTAATATTCGGTGATTCTGTGAAATGCAGTAGATACAGTTACTTCAGAAACAACAGTGCTGGCCAAAGGCGAATGCCTGGAGTTAGCAGTTTTGGGTACTGCTTTCAGATCACAGCAACACATCTGCCAAGAGCTCTAACTGTCCCATCCGTTGCTTTATATGAATGATTTTCTCCTACTGCAGATTTAGTTTTTGCTTTCAAAATTTATAAAGCAAATTATTTTGCTTTACAGATAAACATATGCCACTAGACCCAGAGTAACAATCAGTGTGTGTGTTTAATCTGTGATAAAGAGAAGGTAATATGACGTAGTTTATCATGCTTTTGTTTCCAGCTAAGCTAAGTAGAATTTCTATATATATAAACCCTGATACTGGGGCTAAATTAATAAATATAGATTCAGTTCCAATGCAAGTCTGTTCAACACTTCTGAATCTCTCTCTTTGTTTTGTTGTTGTTGTTGTTGTGCATCTTTGTTTCCTTTTTCATTTAGCTGGCCAGCAGGGATTATCTGTTGCTTTTGATTTAGCCACCCATCGTGGTTATGATTCAGACAATCCACGAGTTCGAGGAGACGTTGGAATGGCTGGAGTTGCCATTGATACAGTGGAAGACACCAAAATCCTTTTTGATGGAATTCCTTTAGAGAAGATGTCGGTTTCTATGACAATGAACGGGGCTGTCATTCCCGTGTTAGCAACATTCATTGTAACTGGGGAGGAACAGGGAGTGCCTCAGGCCAAGCTGACAGGGACAATCCAAAATGACATCTTGAAGGAGTTCATGGTCCGAAATACGTACATTTTCCCCCCTGAACCATCCATGCGGATTATTGCTGACATCTTCCAGTACACCTCAAAGGTACTGCTTGTTTAAATGTATTTACTTCTGTTATTATATCTAGTTAACTATTTATGAGGCACTTTGGAGAACAAAGCAGAAGACAGGAAGACCTGTCGTAGGGAAGAATGATGTGCTTGTGGAAAGGCCAGGAGGGGAAGTTAAAATCCCAAATCACTTACGGCATCAGTGTTAAGATTTTTAAGTCAGTCCATATCAAAGTCAGATTAAGATGAGCCTAAGCCTGAATGGACGGCAGGAGGCTTGGAGATGAGGAAGAGACAGGCTCTTCTTTGCATAGAAAGCAAGAAGCCACATGGTTAAGAAATGTTTTATGGCTGTAAGCAAGAACAGAGAGGTAAGAAATATTAAAGGACTTATGCTATGAAATTAAGGATGAGGAACGATTAATGAAAGGAGTGAAGTCCTGAACCAATGATTGGAAGTTCAGCACTACCAGTTGTTTTCTTAGTTTCATTTTCACTGGGGCGGTAGAACACAGCCTGTAATCGAGAAGGATACTTACGGTGGGTGATGGTTTAAGCACAATAAGTAGTGCAAAAAGGTAAAAGCATGTGAAGTAAACATCTGCAGACACCATTTAATAGAGATGGGTTATATTTGCATTCTACAAAGAATGGATTATTTGTGAATGTTGATAGAACAATTATCTGATCTGCCCCTTCTGCTGTCATACCCTGTTGTCTTTTCTTTTTGCAGTATATGCCAAAATTTAATTCCATTTCAATTAGTGGGTACCATATGCAAGAGGCAGGAGCTGATGCCATTCTGGAATTAGCTTATACAATAGCAGATGGCTTGGAGTACTGCAGAACTGGACTAAAGGCTGGCCTTACCATTGATGAATTTGCACCAAGGTGAGCTACAGAAATTAGCAAGTATAAAACTCACTTTTGGTAAGCGTAATGTAGAAAAAGATACAGCCTTATTTTCAGAATTTCTGGTGATAGAGAACCTGTTAGAGCCTTTGGCAAATTGTTCCAGGAGCTCATTCACTGCTTAAAAAGTGCATCTTTAGTATAATGAGTGTTACTGGCTTTAACTATGCATGTGTACATTCATCAATCATAGAAGCTATAAGCAGGGAAAAGTAGATCAATCAGTCTGTTCCCTGATATGCTGTCCAGTATGGAACTGATATTTGATTTGGATTTTTATTTAGTCAGGGAAAGGATGAAAGCATGCTTATAATATGTAATGTCTACTCATCATAAGTAGTTTGTGAGCATAACTACGCTAGTAGATTGTGTCCAGGAACATTGCCTGGCACTGGAGTGTCACTGTCTGTATTAGTGACTTGCTGGAATGCTGCTTGACTTGGAGCTCTCCCAAAACAGTCCCTGGGGACAATTTAGCAGTGCCAGGGTCCACTTGTGTGCAGTTGCCTTGTTTGGAGGCTAAGACGGTTCATTGGCATAGATGTGTATCATTCTGTAGCGACTGGCATCAGCGTCCAGGACATTCTCATCATGTTGTGTCTGGGTTATAGCTGTAAAAAAAAACTAACCAGAGACCTTGCTGTAGGATATCTTTACTGAAACTGAGCTATTAGAATGGTTTAATGTTTATTCTGTTTATGTGCTCTTCTTACAGGCTCTCCTTCTTCTGGGGAATCGGCATGAACTTCTATATGGAAATAGCTAAGCTGAGAGCTGGAAGGCGGCTGTGGGCTCACTTGATAGAGAAAATGTTTAAGCCCAAGGATCCGAAATCTCTTCTGCTGAGAGCTCATTGTCAGACTTCAGGCTGGTCACTCACTGAGCAGGTTAGAAATTGGACTCTTATGAGCTTCCTTATTCAAATATGTTCTCATAGTGTATATCTTAAAAGGTGCTGCTGGTTTTATTCATAAAGATGCAGCTTTCTGAAGAAGACAACCTGTTCTACTCTCAGTCTGACAAATGCACACACTAGCATTGGATACATATTTTTGCTTATGTAACACAAGAAATGTTCTTGAGTGCTTGCAGCATTGCTTCCCAAAATCCTAATTTACAAAATACTTAAGTATTCTGGCCTGCCATGTAGTGCTTAGGTTAAAGGGCAGAAACTAAAGACTTGAGAATGTATTCACAAAAGGATTCCAATATGGTAATAGGCAGAGTCTCAATGCCTAACTTTTCATTGTCTGGCTTCATTTTTATTCTGGAAACATTGTCTTAAGCATGTGTTCTCTCAGTCTAGTGGTTACTGAATTGAGAACAGCATCCAAGCCTGCTAAGTAGACAGAGAATTGCAGAGAGGTGCTTAGGACTCAGAAGATGAAGCTCTCCCTTGGATCTGTCCTGTAAGTTATCCTTTCAGAATGCAGCTGAATGAGGAAGTATAGGCTCCTTTTCCTCAAGATCACTGACTTGAGAATTTGTTTGAGCGGCCAAAGTCGTCTTTCATGTCCCTCACTCTTACTGCTGAAAAGTGAAATAATGGTTGCAACTTGTCTGCTGTTCTGAAACTGGGTGCACTTTCTTTATGAATTAATTTTTTTTGTCCACGATATTGATAAGCGATACATCAGTTTGTTTGGGTGTTTATTATTAACTGTTCTCTTTTCTAGCTTTTGATATAATTACAATGTTTCAATGGGGAATCTTGCATTAATTTAATTGCAGTGGTGTATCTGTGACTGATCTGCCTCAGACTCGTGACAGAACCTTTGAGCTTCAGAGCTCTCCTTTTCCTTCCAGGATCCCTTTAACAATGTTATCCGTACTACAATTGAAGCAATGGCTGCAGTGTTTGGAGGCACACAGTCTTTGCATACAAATTCCTTTGATGAAGCCTTGGGTTTGCCTACAGTGAAGAGTGCTCGCATTGCTCGGAACACGCAGATCATAATTCAGGAGGAGTCAGGTATTCCTAAAGTGGCAGACCCCTGGGGGGGATCCTACCTCATGGAGTGCCTCACCAATGATGTCTACGAAGCTGCTTTAAAGGTCAATTTGCATAACCTTTTATGTTTTGTGGGGAAATTTTAGGTATAGGACTTTTGAGAAATGTAATTTAAGGGACTGTTTGATAAGTTGATAACTTCTAAAGAGGGAATTATTTTACACTTATGCTTCAGTGATTTCTTTGTAAATGAACTATACAGAAATACAGCATTCCAGTAGACTACATTCAGAAGGGAAATATCCCAGTGTGGAACAAATAACCAAGCCCTGCAAAATCCCTTGCATGCTGACCACTCCCATTTTTTTGGGATCTCTGCTTTATGTGTAAAAAAGCAGAGTTCAACATGAGCGTCAAAACAACCTACTTAATTACGTGCATACTCGTGCCTGCGGTGATCTGTTTGAGACTTTAAAAACACAAAGTTTTATAGCCAAGACTGTAGGCAGGCAATTGTCTGGCCATATTTGAGTGTTATGCAGAATTTAGATTTTTTTTTCTCTTGGATCAGAATATTTATTTTAATAATATTTTTAGCTGCTAGTCATAACTTGCATGTGAGAAGTACTGTGTAGCCTGGCCATACTTGAGTATTATGCAGAATTTAGATTTTTCTTCTCTTGAATCAGAATATTTATTTTAATAATATTTTTAGCTGCTAGTCATAACTTGCATGTGAGAAGTACTGTGTAGCATTAGTCTGACTGGTGGCAATCCTGCATAAAGGTACATGCTTATATGTCTAGACTACAGCTAAACCCAGTGATTTTCCTTCTGAGCAAATTACTGCTCTTATGCAAAGTCCCATATTAATAATTCATACAGGCCCAAACAATAGCCTGTGACTGTACAGACACAGCTCACTGTCTGACACGTGGTTTTTAGGTCCTTGCCAACTAGGACTCTTCTGGACAGTGCCCTGCATGGTCTGTTGGCCATTTTTAGTAGGCAGGTTGAATGCAGTCGCCCTGTTTTGGAGCTGAATGGGCTTCTGCTCTGTGAGAGCTGAACCAAGCCATGCCACTTGTCTTCAGGATCAGACACCCTGGCTCTCAAATTTGAAGCCTTTTCATCAATGGGTGTTACTGGCTGAACAATATACCATGCACTGTTAGGGAATTCGTGGAGTTCTGGAATTTGCTCTTTTCTTTGAGATGTCTCTTATACACCAAAACTTGTAGTCAGAGACATGGATATAGGAGACTTTAGAGCACAGGATTTTATATATAGATATAATAAAAAATTGGATGGCAGTACAAGTGTAAAACTGCTTTTGTGAACCTTGCTACTATGCATTTTCTAAATCCTCTTCATTTCTCAGCTTATTGAGGAGATAGAAGAAATGGGTGGAATGGCCAAAGCTGTTGCTGAGGGAATTCCCAAACTCCGTATTGAAGAGTGTGCAGCCCGAAGACAAGCCAGGATTGACTCTGGTAGGGAGCAGGGAGAGGAAAAAAGGGAAAACCTTTGTATAAACGGTTTTTACACACATTTTCATTGTTTCCTTTTTCTCCTTAATTTAGGAGTAGCAGATTGTGAGTGATAAAATGGTAATATTTTAGTTGAATGTCAGTGAAAGCTTCTGGAAAGATAGAGCAGTGTGTGTGAAATACAGTACCAGTATGAAAACATTCAGTCTTGCTTGACAAATTTAAAACTAGGTTAGACAAAGCACTAGAAACACTAATGCAAAAGAAGTATTTTGGGTCCACAATGGTTAGTTGCTTAATTTCTGAATAGTTTCTTTAAACTGTGGCTCCTGAATTCAAAAGCACAGCCACCAGCAGGTGGCAATGTTGGATGTATCTGCCCAAATTCGTGGTTTTGCTTGAGAGCTGCCCATTTTTCCTGTAGATCAGGAAAATTGCAGTCATCACAGATTAGAGGATGATGTAGCTCTTTGTGGTATATATATGTATATGCATATGTACACCAAGTAAGTATATGTAGAAAAGTGTATACATGTCCTTACAGCTCTAATTTGTTTTTTGTAGTCTGGATTTCAGTAGTAGTCCAGTAACAGAAGCTAGGGATAATTCAAACATGAAAGAAGTTACATGAACTTTTTTGTTTGGAGGGAAAACTTGAAGCAGATCTTTAATTAAGACCAATAAACAATAATCAATGAAGTTCTGTGTTTCCTCTTCCAAAGTAAATTACTTCATGTTTGCAAATAAGAATGGTTATAAAGTCCACACTGAATGAAAGCTAAAATAGTTTTCCACATGATATATTAATTTTTCATTCACATGGAGTAGTTTTAGGGAGGAATTTCACTTTCTTATCTATCTGGTAAACCAGAGAAGTAAATGCAGAGCAGTGCAGGAGACGAACACTTCTGCTTGATTCTGTAAGGTTCAGTTATGTAAAGTTAAAAAGAGAAAAATAGCTAGTGCATATTAGTGACTCATTACTAAATCAGTTTGGAAGATAAATGCTGTTCTACTTCAAATATTTTTTCTGGGCTAGTATTCACTGAATTAAATGTTCATCTAATAATCTCTCATTATAAAATATGGAAAATACAGACTTAAGTCCTTTCTGTAGAACAAGTTTTAAGTATTTGAAATGTATACATTTATAGAACAAAGTGGTACATTATATTGCTCAGAACTTTCTTGTCCTGTTAATATTGTGTCTTTTCACAGTAGTTTGCAAATGTATTCTGAGTTTCTGGTGTTTCCACTGGAAACAGGGTCTGAAGTAATTGTTGGAGTCAACAAGCATCAGCTAGAAAAAGAGGAGACAGTCGAAGTTCTGGCTATTGATAATACTTCAGTCCGTAACAAGCAGATCGAGAAGATTAATAAGGTGGGAATTACCTTCTTAAAAATGAAAGTTCTTGTAATTGCAGATAGAACCTCAGTAAAGGTGGCTTGCCAGAAACTTGACCTTCATATTTCTGAGAACCCACTCTAGTCTTTAGTGGAGAAGCTGGATTTTTGTTCCGCTTCAGTGGAGGGTGATGGAAAATCCCAACAAACAGAAAATTAGAATCTAAACTTAAACAGTTTTGTTACGTTTATTTGGTTTTAATCATTGTATTTCAGATAGTCTCATGAATATATGTCTAACCTTTCAAAATTGAGGACTTCACATTTACTGAAAATAAGATAGAAAGTAGCTATGCAATGTTTAGCTCTAGAAGTACGTGACGTTGCTTAATCACTAAGTCTGTTTGGTGCAGCTTGCAAGTGCTATTAAGGGTCAGGATTACGGAACCGGAAATCAACATCCTCTTTCATAATTAGTAAAAATGTAGATAAAATAGTTTTAGTGTTGTTTTATGGACTTGTATGCTTAGCTGAGAGACCCTTTTACTTCTTATCTTCTTGAAATATATAGCATAAATTGACAATCCCGTGCCTCCAGAATTAATATTTGAAATCAGAAAGTTTTTCAGACTCAACTTCCCAGTTCACTTTGTAGTTTGTTTTAACTTAATATTTTTCTCCTCCACTTTAGGTGAAGGCTAGGAGAGATCAAGCAGCAGCCCAGCAATGTCTCACTGCTCTGACACAGTGTGCTGCCTCCGGGGAAGGCAACTTGCTTGTGCTTGCAGTAGAAGCAGCACGTGCAAGGTATTGGGGTGGGGGTGAATATCCAACTGCTGTTTAAAAATGGGTGGTTCATTTTCACCTTTTAACTGTTGTTGGGTATGGTATCAGTGAGGTTGGTGTCCTGAGCTGTTTTGGGGTCTTCTTCAGAGGTGGAAGTAAAAAATTGCTGCAGTTTGACATTGTAAGGTAGACTATTATATTTTACAGTCTCTTAAGGCTATGCTTTAATTTCTCACAAAGAAAATACAAAGAATCTTATATGAAATAATGTTTTTCATAGGCATTGTGTTGTTTACAACTTGACTCTTACCAGTTTCAGGACATAAGTAGGTTTCTCTATCACCCTGCTGTTTCATAGGTCAGGGAGCTTAAGAAGTGTCTGAGATGTGAAAATGGATATTCACAATCTTATCATTGTCTGTTGCTTCATCCTTCCTTGCACCAGATTGGTGTGAAAACATTTTTCGATTGAAGGAGAAATAAGTTTACTTAGCCAGGCAAAGATGTTCAAGATGCTCTTGAGGAGTGCAACGAGGCATCCTTTAGAGTCCAGTGGAACATTTACTTTTTTTGCCTAAGGTGCTTTTAAGACTGTTTTCATTCCTAAAAAACAGGCTGTAGAATAGATCCTATCTGCCTTCTTTAATTGACTAAATGCCCCAGAAATGAGGGAACCAAATTGACTCTTTACTGGGGTGCTGTCCTGTTTTTACTGTGATGTCTCAAATTCCTTCATTCCCTTTCCTTGAACACTTAACAGCCATATTTTGAATGCATTTTCTCCCACAGAGCTTGTCACAATTCTGCCAGCAGGGTGTCTACGCCTCTCTTTGAGCTGTAAAGGTCACAGGAAGGTAGTGTCACGTTTACCAGGGATTCGTCTCTTCTGTACCAAAATTGAGCAGTTAACTGCTAGTTTCTCTCCTTGATGGCCTTGTTTTTATTATTTGTAAAAGCATTAATGGACTGCATATCCACTTTGTAAGTTGCAAATGCAAAACTTACTTCTGCCTCAAAACTATATATGGGACATGAGCACAGAAAGAAGTTGTCATGGCATCTGATAAAGAGTGTTTGAAGGAGCTCTGTGAGGATTTACAGGAGCCTTTCTGTTAGGGGCACCATGGGAAAAGATTTTCAAGTGAGCACGTTCATCCTTTACAAGTAGTAGACAAGTAGACCAGTATCACCAGCATGTTAGTGACAGACACCTGTCTCCTACTAAATGGAAAATGATGGATTTTAATGACGAAGACAAGTAATGTGCTTCAACTGAAATAAAAGGAGTAGCACAGAATTTTCAGGAAAGTAGTCAATGGAAAAATCTCCATGGACTAATATGGAGATTTCAGTGCTGACAAACACAAGTAGAAAAGTCTGAAGTGCAGTGTAGCATGTAGTGCTGCTGCTTTGTCTGCTTGGTCTGTGTCCTCACGGTACTTTGTCACCTGATTACACACTGCTACCTCTCACACTACCATTTCACACTCGCTGGTGAAATGCAGAGAGAACAGAGAGAAGGTGACAGTCCTAACAGGCACATGGTCATTGACTTTCTTCAAATTTGTATTTGTGCAGCATAGCCTCTACAGCTGGTTGTGAACCACTGGGAGAGTCACAGCACAAATTGCTAAAGGAGATGGATCCTGTGCCTGGTAGGACACTCTGAATTGATCGATATCCTCCCTGGCCATCACAGTTGTGGTTGTCATTCATGCCATTGACCTTGCTGAATTGCCCAAAAGCTTTCCCAAAAAGCAAGCTCCTCTCTTTTGGAAATCGCCTGCTTTTGAGGAAGCACAGGGAACCTCCGAGCAGTTGAGGGATCTGATATAGCATAGTTGGTCAGCAGTAATTCTGAGCAGTGTAGAGGTTCCTAAGATGCAGAATACAATTTGCAAACATTACCTTTGCCACCAGATCTGTTGTAAGGGCTGTAAGCTCATACAACAGAAAATAGCTATCTTTTGGTCTCCACTTACAAAATTTTAAGATGACTTAAAACCACAGATTAGGTTATAAATTACCTGTTTTCCATCAAAAAAAGGCTGCTATGAAAACACGCAGTTCCACACAAGAAAAATGTGAGTGGCAGTCATATGAAGGAAACAGAAATTTATACGATAAAGGCAAAGTGACTTCTGTTCTATCAATTTTGCATAATTGTCTAGCAGGTTTTTAGCAGCATGCGTTCCAAAAACTGTAAATTAATAATAAGAATTGATGCTTGTGCTGCTTCAGTTTTATAATAGTGAGTCTCCAGAACTAAATTTTTCTGTAAAGATAAGAGAAATGGGAGGGGTTTTATACAGCCAGATTGTGAAAAACTTGTCCAATGTATGACTGGGTGATTAAAGAAAAGTGTAATCGTCATTAAAAGTAAGCTTTTTCTCTCCTGATAAGAAGAGAGGCTGTATTCCTGGCTCCAGTTGGAGCTATTCCACTGGGAATGCATAGTTGGCACCCACTGATGCAGCAGGACTATGTAGAGATTTATTTCTTTAGAAGAGAAGGCAGAATTTTCAAAATATTGTCAAGGGATTTCAGAAGCAGAATTTACAGAAGAAAGAAAAATATTTCATTTTTTTGTGCAGTACACAAAAAATTCATCCCAGCCACCAGATTATAATTCAACAAAACTGGTAGTCCAAACCATTTCTTTTTTACTTGTTACATGAAACTTTCATTCACTCTTCTACAAAATGAGAACAGAAAAGCACAACAGAAGTATATTTACACATCCTACACTTCGATTTAAAACTAAAGTTATACTCAGATGCTGAGAAGGAGGAAAAAGATTTATCTAAACTTACAGTTTTCTCCAGAAGAAAAGACACACGTTATGCCATTGTAAGCCGTCACCAAACTGCCAGTGTTTACACAGGAGTAAGTCCTCAGTGTTTATGCATGGGATGTATCCATATCAGGCTGCAATCTGTGATGTCTGGCGGTCTGGGAGGGAGTCAGTATTTGTGGATACTATTTTTAGGTCTCCCACAAACTTGCTTTTAACCTTGGGGAAGTCATTTAATCTAGCACTTATACAGTTACATTTCAATTTTTTTGTTAGTAATTTCAGAGCACAGTCATATTAATAAGATTATTTAGATGTCCTGAAAAACAAAAAGCGATTATATCAGTGAGTAAGGTCTGAGAACTGTTGTAATCTGAGAAGTGCTTACTAAACTATCTGAGATCCTACAGGTGCTGTAAAAATGAAATGTATTATGTACTGATGTCAGTGGGTTCTGATGCAATCATGGACAGTTTGCTTTAAAACTAATGCTTTCTAAATCATTGCTAATAAATAAATGCAAAGAAAGTATCAGACTAAGTCCCATTCATACACAGCCATGCAGGTACTATAAATGTATATATATAAAGGTGCCCATAAGAAATCTGAGGAAGTATTGTTTACAAGGTCATGTAGCAATAGGACAAAGGGTAATGGTTTTAAATTGGAAAAGGGGACATTTAGGTTGGATGTTAGGAGTGTGGTAGCTCAGTGGCACAGGTTGCCCAGAGAGGTGGTGCAGGCCCCATCCCTGGAGATATTCAAGGTCAGGCTTGATGGGGCTGTGAGCAACCTGATCTGGTACCAATGTCCCTGCTCACTGCAGGGGTTGGACTGGATGGGCTGTAAAGGTCCCTTCCAACCCAATACATTCTGTGGTTCTATGATTCTATGAATTTGGTATTACTTTGCATTAGCTACTTACTGTCTATGATAGACTGCTCTTATTTTTCTTTCGTTCTTTGACAAAGCTTGCAGCAAGTTGTATTCATTTCTTAGAATACACAAATTCTCTAGTCTTTTTCTATTCAAATATAAGCTAAAATATTTTCATCAAAATATTTTTGGTGAAAGATTTCATCAAGATCTCAGTAGGAAACCTTCAAAATTGTTACACGGTACTGAATCCCAGTTAATTTTATAGCAGAAGTAAGAAGCTTGCTGTGATGGAGCTGCTAGCTGAACTGTTCTTGTCTTTTCTGCTACAGTCTGTTAGAGATTTTACACAGAAAGGTGGAATCCATTAAACATGGGATTTTTAAATGCTCTGGGACAGAGGCTGTTATTTCTGATGTTTGTACAAGAAGACAGCACAACTTAGTTGACTTCTAGCACTGGTGCTACAGCAGTAAAATGTGTATTATTTCTAACATGCAGTGTCTCCAGTAGCAAACAGAGCTTGTAACTTGCGTGTTATGGATTTCTCAGAATTTCCCAGATTCTTCTGCATCTCAGTGCATAAAGGAGCTATGTCAGGAGCAGAGAGAAAGAGTAAACACTAAAATATAAGCATCAAGGGAAAGGCAAACAAGTTCCAGTTAAACAGTTAAGCTGTGGTCTTTTCTGTGTGTCCTTACTTTTTTTCCTCTTGATTTAAATATTGAATTTTAGTATGAGTCCAAATGCAAGATCTTGCAGTCTGAGCCCAAAAAAATTTCCTGTGGAGAAAATTTGATTTACTTTCCTGAAATATTTTGCTTTGCAGTGATCCCTGTTGCCTTGACACTTGCAAAATCACTTCAGTGAACAGTATTTTCTTAAAACTCCTCTTGCTTGTTCTATTAGTGGATGACACTGGGGTGAGTCAGATGTTCAGAGCTGCAGCACCAAAGAGGAAACGAGTGTAGCTGAAATTGCCCTGCGGCAAGGCAAATAGTTGTGCCTCTGCCAGTGATTTGTGCATTCAGTTTTCATATAAGCCTCCTGATGGCATTAATTCTTGCTTTCTGTATCTTAGGTGCACTGTTGGAGAAATAACAGATGCAATGAAGAAGGTGTTTGGGGAACATAAAGCCAGTGACCGAATGGTGAGTGGAGCTTATCGCCAGGAGTTTGGAGAGAGCGATGAAATTCTTCATGCCATCAATAGGTGAGAAGAGCTTCCCAGGAAGCCAAACACAGCCTCATGTTCAATCCCTTAAACTTTAGATACGTGTGCTACTCACTATGCCCTAAAAAAGCATTCCTCAAACTTGAATGACATCCTCAGAACAAAGCAAGGACCTGCCCAGTCATTCATTGCCTGTAAGCAAGTAAGGAGAATGAGAAGAAATAAGTGCAATAAGAGAATAGTCAAAATTCCATTGAACTTGTATTTTCTTGCAAACAAAATCCACTGAGGTGATGTTAAGATTTGAGGATTTTGTTCAAATAGACCAAGCGGCTGTAGGATTAAGAAGCTGAGAAGCATTGCCTGAAGTCCCCATACATGGGACACTTCTTTTGAAGACTCTGTAAAAGTAATCTCTACAAATATTTCCAGCAATTCATGTTTGCAAAACCTGGTTTTGGTCTGCCCATAAGATGTCCCTGCAACTCCACTCCTAGTGTTCCTAAAATTGTAAGGTTAAAATGTGTCTGGATTTCCACATACAGCTTCCAGTCTATGGGAGTTACTTACTCGTATCACAAGGGAGAAAACATCAGAAGATGGCAGTATGTGTGAAAACAGTGCCCATTTTGCCTTTTGTCAGCTTCTGCCTTTGCTGCTGTCCTCTTGGGTAAAGAGACTGAATTGCTGCAGTGGGTGCTGACGTCGTATGAATCGATGCTCGTAAGTCCCTGCTGCGTTGGGGCTTACACATTAAAGAGTTACAGGATCTCTTAAAAGGGAATTACTTGATGGCTTCACAATTGTGATGTTTAGCCTGACTTGAAAGTACTTGTGCTGGGGAATGTCACCATCACTTTTTTATTTTAAATATTTATTTCAAATTTAAGTGTTTGTAATTATGCATTTACATGAAACTGAACTGATTGGTTGAGAATCAAGATGTAGCTCCCTTTTTTACATACCTGCCTTTATGCCCAAAATCTTATGTACCAGTTAGTAAACATGGTAATGAAACTGCATCTACTACATGTCACCTTTGCGTAGGCCTTCAAAAGTGTGATTGCACACTTGCCCCACACTTAAACCAAGCCCTAGATTGCTGTGATTTGGGTGGTTTTACCCTGGCAGGCTTGGAACACCAAGTGCTGCTCTTGTTGGGAGGGAGGCTGTGGTGGGGGAGTAAGAAAACAAGAATAAGGAAGCAGAAAACAATACAGAGAAAAGGATTTAAAGATACCACAAATAAATTCAGGTACCTGCTCCACTGATATTCTCAGCAGTCCTTAGGAATAGAGAAGGCAGGCCCAACTCCCGTACATCCTCAACCAGAAGCTTTGCGAGCCTCCTTCTTAAGGCTCTCTTCACGTAACTCCTTTTTTCAAGCTGTCCAAGTTCTTACTTTTTCCCTATTACATGATGCATATTCCTGTCCTGGAACCATCCCCTGAGGCTGTTCAAATTTGTGCTGATAAATGCTTTATCTAGAGTAATTCTTTTCCTCAAACTAAGCCACTGGATTCATACAGTGAACATCCCGGCCAGGGCAGGGTATGATTTCAAGGCTCACCAAATCTATACAACTTCATCAGTGCTAAACAACTTCAGAATGCTCAGAACAGTACAATAGTAAAAAAAATAAAAGGCAAACAAAAAACAATAACAAACCACCCAACCTTTATTTCTGATAAATGATAGCCTTAATGTCCCACTCAAAGACAGCTACTGGCGATACACGGATAATGAGCAGGAAGATGAAGGATTAACATCTGAGGCTGTGGTTACACGGTCACCTTAATACAACAGAAATCTGAACTGCCACTTAGCAGAAAAAGGGAGGCACTGGAATGAGTGCACAGAATGGGGGATATGGTAATCGTTTTCTGGACAGGCTTGGGGCCCAGCTGGATGATGATGCACAGTATGATGTCTAGGACCCATCTGTATAGCCTGTGTGCCATGCAAGTACTTTTGAAATAATTGGTCGTAATTATTCTTAAAATCTAAAAATTGTGTTTTAGTTAGTTGTAATTCATCCGATTAAATGCTCAAAAAAATCTGTATTTTGTCCATTAGAAAGGAGAAGTGTAGTGGAATGGTTTTCTTTAAAAGAATAACAAGTTATTGGTGAGGCTAATAAATACAAGAAATCAGTAATCGTGTAACATGGATATTAACATCGTGTGCCGACTACACAGACAAACCATGACTTAAAAGGTCTTTTTATTTGATGTACAGAAACGATGCTACAGTTGCAGCCAGTGCTTTTGTATTTGTGGAAATACTTCTAATGATTCTCAGTGACTTAGATTGACACATTGTGTTTTCAATCAGAGTTAACAAGTTCACGGACCGCGAGGGGCGCAGGCCTCGTATACTTGTCGCAAAGATGGGTCAAGATGGCCATGACAGAGGAGCTAAAGTTATTGCTACGGGATTTGCAGACATTGGCTTTGACGTGGACATAGGTCCTCTTTTCCAGGTATGACTGATTAAGTGGTGTCCTATGTGTTTCGAATGCAGCAATTTTCCCTCAAATGCTTGTTTAGCAACCAGGCTGTTTCTTGTCACGTAATCCTTCTTCCACATAGACACCCCGAGAAGTGGCCCAGCAGGCGGTTGATGCAGACGTGCACTGTGTTGGTGTGAGCACACTTGCTGCAGGTCATAAAACTCTTGTGCCTGAACTCATCAAAGAACTCAACGCCCTTGGCCGGCCGGACATTCTTGTCATATGCGGAGGTGTCATCCCACCTCAGGTACGGGTCAGCATCATTTCCATCAAGACTAAGGGACTGCTTTATTTCTGTCTGTGTTGTTTTTAGCTATTTTCTATATCCTGTTAATGTCAGGGGTGATTTACAGTGCTGAAGGCCACTGTGTACAATCACCAGGGTCAGCACAGATCTGCAGGGTGGTTGCAGAGTGCTGTCAGGTCTCATTGATCTGGTTTTCTGTACACCGGGTCCTGGTTTAACTTGCAGTATTTGTTGGATGGAATATTAAGTTGTGTTGTGAAAAGATTAGCCTCAGGGAGATCTTCTTTATGTTCTTTATGTTGTTTCTGATTACCAGTACCTTACATATTACTGATAAAGGCTAGCTCCTGTCTTGAGACTTTATGACTTCCAATAATAATTTGAAAGAGGCACTAAGGCACACAGTGACTAGGACTCACGGCAGGTCACAAAACCTATAGGCTATACATCTCGTTCACTGTTTAGCCTCCCCTCGTGTTCCCTGTCGTCAGACCTCAGTGTTGCCTCTCACTCCCTCTGCATGCCTGTTTCTCCTGAACTGTTGAACAGTTTCTTGGATTCCCTTGCAGTCAGATCTGTGCCTTTGTCTTACAATTTTCCTTTGCTCATCCACAGTGTACCTGGCTGTATCACCTTTAGGGTCATCTTCTCTCTAGAGAGATTAAAATTGGTTTTGCCTATAAATCTGTTACTCCCTTTTCCCAGACTGCTTCCTTTTCAAGCCAATTGGGTAGGTGTTCAGGAATGACAGACTTTTAAATTGACCAAACAAAACTCGTAGTATTTTTCTAGAAGACAAATCATGTCCTGTCCAGCATCTCTCAATGTCTTTCCTGTGGATGTTTTTTTAATTTTTCTTTTTTTGCCTCCTAACTACTGTATTTTTTCCCTCTCCCTTGTTGCTGTGGTGCCTCTCTCTGGGACTTGTTGAATATGCTTTCTCAGGCCCAGCATGCAGGATAGAGCATACACCAATTATAAACTATCGATTTTCTGTTGCGCTATTAACTACAGATCTTACATTTCTTTCTGAACAGGATTACGACTTCCTGTATGAAGCTGGCATTACCAATGTGTTTGGTCCAGGGACTCGTATTCCAAAAGCAGCTGTCCAAGTGTTGGATGATATTGAGAAGTGCCTGGAGAAGAGGCTGCAATCTATGTAGTGCTGAAATTTCACACAACACAACAAGCCTTATCCTAACTGCTTACACAACGTAATCATCAGCGAGAGATGACCAGCCACACGTACCTTTGGTTTCACTGCCCTGTGGCCTGGTGTTTTCTGCTTTCTAAGAAAGTTGTAAATTCTCTGCTTGTTCTAGTTGAGGATTATTTATATATGTACCCACAAGAAAATTTTATCTCTAAAACTGTGACTTCAGGGAATGAAGGGAATTCAGTAGGTGGGTTTGTTTTGGTTTGGGGTTTTTTTTTTCCAGATATACTGATAAATAAAAGATCCGTTCAAGTTCATTGGTTGATCTCTTTTGCATGTAGATAACTTTTGAATTTTTGGCAGGCGTTGTAGACCTAGAAGACTTCAGACAAAATCACTGAAGTTCAGCAGAGATGTGGTTGAATCCAGCAGCACTTTGATATTAACATTGTCTGATTTAACTCTCTTTAGAAACAGATAAGTAGAAAACCCGCAATTTTTCAAAGTTTGTGGTTTGCTTAATAGGATACAAACCCTGCATCTGGCAGTAACCCATGTAGGAGGAGCTGTGCACCTCCGCTCTGTCTACATCACTGCTGTTCCCTGATACTTCACTATTTCTCAAATGAAGTTCATTCTAGCGCTGCTTCTCCCTTCCTTCATTCTGTATTTTTGTCCAGTGTTCTTGCTATCTCTGTCTGTTTAGCAGTTGGACTTTCTTCAGGTAAATTGATCCTAAATTCTCACTATTCTGTGTCCCTCCAGAAGGAATTAGATTTCTACATGTGAAAAGTCCTTTGTGGCATCTATACAAGGCAAAGGGGATGTGAGTGTCTTTTAAGGGGCAGTCTTTGTCATTATGGCCCTACTCCACTTCATTTTGCCTTGTTGCTCATTGCATCCCATCATAAAACGAGACTACAGCTGTGCTGGGAGAATGCTTGTATCCACCTTATGGTGGCAGAGGCGGTAGCACACTTCCAAGGTGCTCAACACTGTCATACTTTATTCAAAATGAGATTTTCTGCAGTTGGATGGGAACTGCAGAACCAGTTAATAACACTGCATCCTGACTTCAAAGATTGCAGTTGATGAGATCTTCACTTAATATAAGGATGTTTAATGGGGCACGTGCCCATAATCTCATACTGCTCAGAATCAAGGTTAAGCCTCTTGCTGTTTTCTTCTCTCTAATTAAGGCTTAAAGTATTTATCTCAAAGCAAACATTTGCCTTGAAAACTCCTGGGGTGTTTATCCTCAACTGTAAGTATCTGATTCCCCCCAAGAAGGATTAGTGTGGTTCAAACAAGGATATACAGAGAGTGACAATTAAAATATTCATTTGTGTCTTTTCACAAGCCTTCTTGCCTGCAAACAGGAAAAATACGTAGTCAAAGTGTCAGTGACCTCTAAACTTTATGACACGGGTTTCATTCATCTTGTCTATGATTTCTCTGCCCTTTGGCAATGTATGCCATCTACCTGCTTTTGCCTTACTGATACCTCTTTTTTTTTAACTAGTGATTTTAAAAATCTGCATCTTATTCCCTTGAATTCAATAAAAAAATCGTCACCAGCTTCAACTGGAATCTCTCCAGGGAAGGAGAGCCCTTAAAGCTGTAGATTGGGACTAACGTACATTGATTTTCTCTTATCATATCAAGGTTAGAAAACAAAACGTTGAGCCTAGGGAAGGAATGGTTTTCTCACCTGGCACATAGTGAATCAGGCCCTTTAAGGGAAGAAAATACTCAAGTGAACAGACTTTCCTTCAAGCGAGTCATCAGGTTCACTGCTGAAGCAGAGATTCCTTACGGGATGACAAGCTCAGATGGAACATGCTTTTCCCGTATGTGGTCCGCTGCTGGAGCAGCATAGCAATGAGCGTGGTGCTTACTGACGCGTCGATGTCTGGTTGTCAGCCCTCACTGATAACGGTGAGCGGTTGCCAACTGAAATCAGATGCTGCACGTGCTCCTCAACCTGGCTGCTTTAACCCTGCGCTGCTGTTGGCTAGTGAGAATTTGGGTTAGTGCAAAACCAAGTAGGTGCTCTGCAAATATACTGAAACATTTTGCTTCAGTATTGTGGCATATTCCAGGACAACATGATAACTGCGAGACAGGACGCTCGGATCTTTCCGATAGGAATGAGGAAGATAGCAGCAGGTTACTGCACGGCTAAGTCATTTCCCATAGGAAGTTCCCAAACAGTCGATATTTGTTATCTGTAAAGCATTTTCTGTTATGCAAAGATGCAAGGAATACAGATAGGACAAAGGGCTGGACATGTGGAGATCACCATTTACACGTAGGAATTGACTTACTATAATGCCTTGTCCTTCATGAAAGAAGCTTGGCTAAAGAACTTGAGCATAGCACCATGTCCCAGGCCAGTGTCCTAACTGAAACAAACTTCCTGCTTGATTTCAGTCGTAACCTCCTGAGCGCGGTGGATGCTACGTGGTAGATCCTACAGAGGCCAAATTTCTATGTGTCTCACAACCTTTAGGATCGGTGCTTTTGCACTTGCGTTAAGCTGTTCATCAAACGTTCAGTGCCTTACAATGATGAGCAGCAAGACCACCTCTATTGTATGGGTAAGAGAAGAACCCAAGACGAAGTTTAAGAGACTTCCCTCTTAGCCACACTATCAGTCCTGTGCCTCGATAGCCAGAGATCACCTGGAAGGTTTTTCAAAGTAAGGCACTGAATTCCTATTTATTGTAATTCAAATCAGAGCGCTAGTTGTGTTATTTAACTTTATAAGTCATCATGTGAGTAGGCAGCTCCACCTATCCTCAATGGAAAGAAAGGAGCTGAAGGGGGCTCGCTCAGGTGAGGATGTCTGCATCACAAACTTCCACAAGTTTTTACCTTAAATACTTGTTTGCCTTGGGATGACTGCACCGATGGTTGCAAAGTTATGATGCCCACATTGACTTCTGAGGTAAGTGCTTGCATTCTGCTTCAATGTCTTAGAGCATCACTTAATTGAGAACACAATTCAGGGCTGGGTAGGAAAAACTATGAAATGAGAGTTATGTTGACCCTAAATTAACTTCATGAGACTTAAGAAAAACCAACTAGTTCCCTGACGTTAACGCTGAACTTGCTTTCCTAGTTCTGCGGTCAAAGGCAGCCCTGCTTTTGTTAATTTTCTGTGTATAACATGAATTCACAGTCTCTACTGGGGGAAGTTTTGATTTTCTTCTCACTGAGTCTGAAAAATGGAAGAGAAATTTGAGTCACATTTGATACACAAACACCCAGACTTTGATTTTTTTAAATAAAGTATATAAACAGGTAATAAATCAGGCTAGTAAAGCGTTATACTTTAACAATATACAGATCTTTTTGTTTACATTGATTCTGTCTGCATTGTAAAGTAGTGTATTTTTCATATTATGTAGACTTTAAAGCACTTGCAAGCAGCTGCGGACCTGTTCTGCTCCTAAATTTTTGACCGAGGAAGCTCACATTACATTACATTATGAATGTGCCCATCATTGTTCTCTTCACAAATGTGCAATTAGGAGATGGGAATACACATTTTGCTGTTTATTTTAAACATGAAGCAACTGAGAAATGAAAGCAAAAACTCTGAGGTGGAAGATGATTATTAAAAAACAGTTTCATTTCCCTATCAGGTTATTTTTTAAAGCTGAAAAAGGCCGACAATTGAGATTTACCATAACAAGCCTTTCCAGCATGTTAACATTTTCTTCACCTGTGGACATGATCCTCTCGCCCCTCTTTTTACACTGTCTTCCCTTTCACATTTCCCTCATGCCCTCTCCAAAAGCACACTTGCATAACACACTCCTGCATCTTCTCCTCTTCCCAAATCTTTTCCTTCAGCTTTCATATGCTTTGCTCTGTTACTGGTGTTTGCTCCTGCTTCCCACATTCTTCTTCCCTTTTCCCATTTTCCCATCCAAGATGTAACTTCCCCAGAGGATGCTTCACCTCTTCATACCTGGGACAGAAGACTGAACACAGTCTCATTCCATATGGGGCATCTGTGAGTGACAACCTCAGACAAGATAATGCACCCTGGAGGTCAGCTTAATTTAGGATTTTTTTACAAATAAACCTATTTTAATCTAGTGGTATATTTATGAGAGTTGGTGACACTGCCAGTGGCAGGAGTTCAGAGGAAGGAAAGCTCCTTAAAGTTCCCTAACCCCCAGCTTTATCATTAATTTGTGCCTTAGTGTATGTTACAGCTCTCGTTTTGCTTGTCTTTTCTAATATGAACTTCACAGTAACAGAAATTTTCATAGCCACAGAAGTGCTTAAGCCTGTCTTGTAACCCTGTTGGCCTTAGCTGCAGTTTATAAAATGAAAATAATTATTAGGGTTTGAGTGTGGTAGAAGTCTTCAAGAACCTTTTGCCATGCCCTACAGAGGGCTCCTCCAGAAAACAACCCCTTGACAGCGTACATGGTGGAAGAGCTGTTACACCTCAGCAAGCCATAATGTAAGTGCACAGCTTTGGGTTTTTTTGCTAAGAGATCCCTCCACTTCTCATCTGTGATGTGCAGAAGCCTCCTCTGCTGACTGCCACATTCCCACCTGACCTCTTCACATGAAGGCTGCTTGGCTCCTGTTTGAGCTCATGTTGTGAGGAGTTGGATTTATACTATACGGAGCCAGGAACTCGAGATCCCTATAAGACATTTTGATACCAGCAACTTCATCATCTTTTCCTGGCAGTGAGTATTTCTTGCTACCTATATGGTTTTCTGTCTGTATTGCTAAAAAGCTATGCTGTCAGCTGTATTTATTTGGTAACACTTTGTGTTCACCCCCCAGTTTTCTCTGATGGCTGTTTTACTGATAGAGCCAAGCATTTGCAGATAGATTGCATTAAAAAGTCAAAAGTATATAAAAAAAAACCCAAACAGAATAATTAATCCTCTTTTAATTATAGCTATTTCCCTGAAAATAAGTTTAGTCTATATGTTCTTATGTTTAGTACAGAAATCTATTTCCTCTGAAGTGGAAATTCTTGAAAAAAATAGTGTTTTCTTATTTTTTTGTGTAGCTTTAAGAAATTATTTGAGAGTTTCTTAAGAATGCATACTTAAACCTCTGTATTTGACACAAGATATGCAGTGACAACCCAGCATGCTGCATTCCTACTCATTTGGACCCATGAGTGAGCCCAAGTTTTGCCCTATGCTGTGAAACCATCGCTGCGTTTCAGCGAGCTGCAGCTCCCTGGTTCTCCACCGTTGCAGCTGAAGAGAGACGTACATCATCCCTCCCGCTCCACATCATCGACACGGGATTCTCAGCAGAGTTGTTGGTGCTGAAGA